TTGTAATTTTAATCCATGTTTTTGGCACAAATCCTCAAAGGGGTTCAGGCAGCAAGACTGCTGGAAGACAAGAGGGTGCCACATTCTCTATGTGCCTGTGGAAACTAGCACCTTGAGTACACTGGTGGCTTGGGCTTGATATGTCATGGAAATTTTGTCACCCATGTGACAATGATAGTAACTCTCACTGGCTCTAGAAGCAGCCCCGGGAAGGATGTCATTGTGGGAGCAAAGCCTGATGCTTTGCATGTCAGTTTTCTGTATGGAGTGAAATAGGACCTCAGGCAGCAAGGGCAGTGCCCTGCATTTACCCTCCTTTATTCTGCTCATTGCCAAGCTCACAACAAAACTTGAGGTAGGAACCAGCTCTGCAGGGCCACTCTGCGGCTTCCTTGCCAAGGTGGGTGTAATGGTCTGCTCTGTCCCTTTAAGAGACAAGCCATGCTCGGGACCTGCTGCCCTACACCACAGGTGTGGTCTCATGGCCCGCTGCCCACTGCCACAGCTCAGAGACCTGCATTTCTGCTGCTGAAGCCACCTGGGGATCTGCAGCATTTTTATTTAATCCATTACATCAGTGCTGTGAGACTCGGGAGGCTCTCCCACCCGTCCTGGGTTTGGGACTCAGAACGGGATAATTGTCCCTCAACAACGTATTCCATATTCCCGAGCGCGATTTCTATGCACACCACCAGCTTCAATTGGTGAGTTTCCCCCATTCTGTTTAGCTTGTTTCTCTGAATCCGAGGAATTGACCATTGAGCTCCCAGAAATCTGGTGTTCTTAGAAACGGGGGACAGCCCCCAACCATGGTCTTTACATTATGGTTGAGCCCTTTGCTGACATTCATCTCTGGATTGCTTCCCTTATCTAAAATTGCCTTTGGATAACCTGGGGTCAGTCCTCCCGCAACTGGGGGCCCACAATCCCTCAGATTCTTCTCTTTTCTTCCCCCATCTTGAAAGGCCACTTGGAGCAGCCTCTGGCCTCTCGGCTTCTGAGTAGCCCCAACCAGAACCAGTCAGGCTATAGCACCCCACCTATAGGCAGGGGATGCTCTGCTACACGTCCTGCGGTGTTTGCTACCCATTTACACCCTTTCTATAGGAGGAGACGTCCTGTTATAGGCCTTGTGGTGTTACCACTTTGGGGGTTTTAGGTTTCAGCTACGGGTAGCAAGCCATCCATTTCTGTCAATCCATCCTCCTCCTGGGATGCCTTTTAGAAGCCCTAAAACCCCAGGCCTTGATGCCCTCCTTCTTCAGTTCCTACCCTCACTCTGCCAGTGTCCTGCTGGCTCCACTTTTACAGGAGCTTTCTAACTACTATCAGCGCACAGGCAAATGGAAGTTTCCTCAAACTGTCCCTGTCACCGCTACTGCTGCCAACAAGATTGGTCGGGTCCACAAGGCAGCTGTTTTTCAATTCCCGCATTTTGCTCCCTGCTGCAGCTGTGGCATGGCAGCTTAGCGACAGGGTGGATCACACCTTTAGGTCTCTTATTATTAAACTTAAAATCCCTGCAGCTCAAAAATTGTGGCTTTTCCATACATGTGACCACTGCCATTTTGACAGAGGTCAGGTGACCAAGTTCCACCATCTTTACTGAGGTATTCCCTGCTTGGTTCCCCAGTGTTAACTCTGTTACATAGGTGACCTTACCACCATTTTGACTGCAGTCAGATGACCTTACAGCCATTTTAACTGAGGTGAGTTGATTTTGCTGCCATCTTGGCTGAGATATTCCCTGCCTGGTTCCCCAGTGTTAACTCAGTTACATGGGTGACTTTAGGGCCATTTTAACTGAGGTCAGGTGACTTCACTGCTATCTTAACTGAGGTATACCCTGCCTGGTCCCCTTGTTTACTTATGTTTTTGTCTCTAAATTCCTCTTGCTGACTCTGTTGCATGTGTTTTGTGCAGAGGCATGCCTTTGGTAGGGCCCACCGAGAATATCCACTTCACCTAATTCCTGTTCACGCTGTGTGCTCATACGTGTAACTTAAATGCACCTACGTTTACTGTTAAATGTTGAATCGTCTGTTCATTGTATATCATTCCAGACTACAAAGCAGTAAGTTTCATGTTTTAAATTGGTATGTACTTTTAAATCTCTTACAATACAGTACTTTAACCCAACCCTGATTTAAAATATATTAAGCTGTTCTCTACTATTGTGAGTTCTGCCATTAACCTATTGCAAGCAGTTTTTTCTTCTGTCTTTGAGTGTAAATCTTACCTGTTGAGAGCCAGCACAGTCAAGCTCAGACACAGCACTCCAAGCAGATTCTATACTGTAGTTACACCTGATAAACAGCCCTTGACTGCTCAGAGATCTGGGGAATATGGCATTTAAATATTTAATTATTAAAAAACTTTTCATAACAACAAGAGACAGATTGGCTCCTAGCAGCAGCACTCTAGTTCCTCCAAAGAAGACAGGAGACAAATGGGCACAGAACACTGCCCATCCTCAATTTGTTTCAACTGTGAATCACTGACCACTGGACAAAACTGCCTTTCATCTAAACTGAAGATCACCAGACGGTGCACAATCACTGGAATCGACAGTCTAACTGCTCAGGTCAAGTTAGGTTTGTCTTCCTACAGATTTCTTAGCCCATAGGATCTTATGGAGCCTGGCAGGCCCTGCGCTAAACAGCAAAAGGCAAACACGACCTTCAGTGACCATAGAGGACCCTGAGGAGTAGCTGGAGGTGCCAACCAAGTTCTCTGTCGTTTTTAAATCAGTAACTCAATTAAAATTTCATCCTTCTCAAAGATCTCTGATAGAGCTTGACAGCTGAGAGGTTTTGTCAGTTTAAAAGGACAACCTTACCAAACAAATTTCAGTAAAATTAAAAATACAAGACCTGCAAGTTATAAATGCATGAGGACAAATACAAGTTAACCAAATTTCTCTCATGCTGCCTTCCATAGTCTTAAAATCTTTCCCCTTCTCGCCTTCCCTTCCATAACCTACTAAATAAATATTCAACCTCACTCTGCATGGCATTCCTATCCATGTCTCTCTAGCCCGCTGTGTGGCTCCCTGCCTGGGACCAGCTGCCTTTGGAGACCTGCAGCATTTCTGCCACTGCAGCCACTTGAGGAACCACAGCATTTTCAATTAATCCATTACAGTGGTCACATCTGCAACAGGGAGCAGAGCTGAAGGCTGAGTCAGGAAAGAGACAGTGAGTTGTGAGCTGTTCCCTGATAGATCTGTAGTCTAGTCTTTCTTTTCTCTTCGGCTGCTCCCGTTCCCAGAGGCCGGTCTCCCCCCACCTCTTCCCTCTTATTACTCCCTTCCCCCTAATAAAACCCTACACCCAAGCTGTTGCATGGCCTTTTTTTTCTTTCACACTGCTTTTTGTTTGTTTTTTTTTCGAGACAGTTTCTCTGTAGCTTTGGAGCCTGTCCTGGAGCTCACTCTGTAGACCAGGCTGGTCTCGAACTCACAGAGATCTGCCTGCCTCTGCCTCCCGAGTGCTGGGATTAAAGGCGTGCGCCACCACCACCCTTCCCGCTGCTTTTTAAATTACAGCTCTCTGTAGCTTTGGAGCCTGTCCTGGAGCTCACTCTGTAGACCAGGCTGGTCTCGAACTCACAGAGATCTGCCTGCCTCTGCCTCCCGAGTGCTGGGATTAAAGGCGTGCGCCACCACCACCCTTCCCGCTGCTTTTTAAATTACAGCAATCTCTGGAATCTCAATGTGAATGTGGTGTGACAAAGCCAAGACCTCAAGCACCTGGTGGGTGGAGCACACTTCTTTGACTGGAGTGGGGTGTGGGAGCCTGGGACTGAGACCAGCTTCCCAGCTGATTCTGCCTTAGTACTTACACCTTTACAGATGGAAACAGGACAGGACTGTCCATCAAATGTGGGCAGTAATAGTTGCCCTTGTTGCCTTCTGAGAATAATGGCGATAGTAACTGTTCAGTAAATGTTTGCTATTGTGCACTAGGCACCATCTTAAAAGCTTTATGCTTAAGAGCCATATAACCCACCATAGAGACAGGACATAGCCCAGAGTCAACAGTCAGGGTTTGGACTCCAAGCTCGGAAGTGATCATGTTAAGAACATAATAAAAACATGCAGGAAAAAAAAAACACATTAGCTTTTGTTGCTGTGACAAAATACTTAGGGCACTTCAACTTTCACAGGAGAAAAGGTTTGACTCAGTTTCAGAGGTTTCAGCCATAGTCGCCTGGCCTACTTCTGGGCCACTGGTAGCCAAGAAGCAGAAGACAGGAAAGGCCTGGGATCTGAGTGTCTCCTTCAAAGGCATGCTCCCTTCCCAAACTTCTTTCCACTAGGCCTGCCCTTTATCTCTTTTGTTTTTCCAAGACAGGGTTTCTCTGTGTGACAGCCCTAGCTGTCCCGGAACTCACTAGACCAGGCTGGCCTCAGACTCAGATCTGCCTGCTTCTGCCTCCCCAGTGCGGGAATTAAAGGTGTGCAGCACCTGCCGGCTAGGCCGGCTGTTTAAACAGCCCCACCTCAACAGGACTACAGCTCCACCGCTAACAGCTCAGCATTGACATCAAGATCAACCGGAACATTTCAGGTACACGGACTATAGGTACCTTAAGCAGCAAGGAATTGAATTCTAAATTCTCATAGAGACCAGTCCTTGAAACTAGCTCTCTCTCTCACCTTCTCTCCACAATGTATTTGAAAGTCTTAGTGCAGTTTTGCAGGGATAGGATAGAGGTTGTAGGCTGACCCCTTTCTCAACACAAAGGCAGTTACAGTTTCTTCATCAATAGTACGTGCAGCCCACATTAAGAGATATTTTAAGAGACTAATTATTCAATGGCCACAAAGTCTTGAAGTAGTCAAAAGAAACCAGAAGGTGGTAGCACACACTTTTTTTTTTAGGCATTTGAGATTTATTTTTATTTATTCATTTATTTTTTTATTAATTTATTAAAGATTTGTCTCTTCCCCACCTCCGCCTCCCCTTTCCCTCCCCTCCCCCAATCAAGTCCCCCTCCCTCGTCAGCCCAAAGAGCAATCAGGGTTCTCTGCCCTGTGGGAAGTCCAAGGACAACCCTCCTCCATCCAGGTCTAGTAAGGTGAGCATCCAAACTGCCTAGGCTCCCACAAAGCCAATACGTGCAGTAGGATCAAAAACCCATTGCCATTGTTCTTGAGGTCTCAGTAGTCCTCATTGTCCGCTATGTTCAGTGAGACCTGTTTTAACCCAGGCTTTTTCAGACCCAGGCCAGCTGGCCTTGGTGAGTTCCCGATAGAACACCCCCATTGTCTCAGTGTATGGGTGCACCCCTCGCGGTCCTGAGTTCCTTGCTCGTGCTCGCTCTCCTTCTGCTCCTGATTCGGACCTTGAGATTTCAGGTAGCACACACTTTTATTTATTCCAGCACGCAGGAGGCAGAGGCAGGTGGATCTCTGAGTTCCAGGTCAGTCTGGTCTACAGAGCAAGTTCCAGTACAGTCAGTCAAGGCTACACAGAAAAACCCTGTCTTGAAAAACAAAACAAAAAAGCCAAAAGAAACTAATATCAACATAGCCAGACTGTTTGGAATGTACCCAAATGGGCAAGTTTGGGACAAAAGTACTTATTTAGACAAAGAACTACTTTACCCATGTTCTTTTACCAAGTGCTGTAGACACTGTTCTGTTGCTGCCAAGAGACACCATGACCAAGGCAACTCTTATAAAAGAAAGCATTTAACTGGGCTTACAGTTTCAGAGGCTTGGTCCATTATCACGGCAGGAAGCAGAGGAGCTGGAACAGTAGCTAAGATCTGAGAGCTACTGATATACAGGCCAAGGTAGGGGGAGAAGGGAGGAGAGCCAGACTGGGCCTCACACAGGCTTTTGGAACCTCAAAGCCCACCCACAGTAACATACTTCCTCCAGCAAGGCCTCACCTCCTAATCCTTTCAAACAGTCCCATTCCCTGGTGTCTAAGCATTCACATAGGAGATTAATGCGCCATTCTTATTCAAAACAGTGTACTAAGTAACCCAAGCCATCTTAGAAGTCCAAGTCTGAGGAAAACGTTTATTAGAACCTTTCAGTTTGAATTAGATTGTATCTTTGCAAACAAATACATTTTATTTCACAAGCAAGCAAAGGGACTCTAGATTATTACTCCTTTTTGTGTGGATTGTGTCTAGGCCAACATAAAAGGCTTGGGAAAGGATATCAGACAAAATACAAGGCTTATTATTTAGTCAGCTCAAAGTCCGATACTAAAAAAAGGCAGGGATAATTACTAATTTGTTCCGTGTGACTTTTGGCACCCATTTGTGGTATAGTTTCCCAAGCAGAGCCTGTAGTTTCTGACAGCCACTGACTCCAGCTTCACTCTGCGGTGCTGCCGGACACGGAAACAAACCACCTGCTTTCCTGACTACTACTGGCTTTCAAAGCAAGAGATCGCCAACATTATTAGCAGGGATGCATCATTAAAACTATCTCCCTATTGCTTAACAGTTAACAAGCAAACATCACTGCAGATTCCTCAACACTCAGCTAAAGCTGCAACACGTGTGCTTTTGACTGTAATCCGACTTCCTTTAATTTTTTTTTTCCAAGACAGGGTTTTCTCTGTGTAAATAGCCCTGGCTTTGTACACCAGGCTGGCCTCGAACTCAGAGATCCACCTGCCTCTGCCTCCAGAGTGTTGGGATTAAAGGCATGCGCCAACACTGCCCGGCAAATTAAAGTTTTAATAAAAGATTTAAAAATCACAAAAATAGAAGTTTAACCAGTCCTCTTTCCTAACCAGGGGACGGAAACCTTCCGTGAACATAAAGTTTCTTTCTAAAAGGTTTCACAGGGGGACATAATGATGCTCATTCATGAGGGCCTACGTGAAGTCTTTAAGGGAAAAGGGCTAAAGCACCTCACATAGTATTTAGAGTCAGCTGACACAACTTCTGCACTAACTGTTTAGATAAAGTGCTATGACATTTTGCTAGAGAGCTAGCGCTTTCTGTAAAAAAAAAAAAAAAAAAAAAAAAAAACAAGACTAATTTTTCCGGGTTCTGGATTTTCAGTTTAGAGCTAACATCTTTTATAAAAAATACCAGTAAGAAATTATCTTAAAATTCTGATGATATTAAAAAGTCACAAACCTCAGAGAACTGAGAGCTCTACTCTACATCCCTAACTGCCAGCCCTGGTTTCAGTGAATAACGACCGATTTTACAAAAGGAAGTGCTTTACAACTCCCTACCCCCACCCCAAGAGCAATGCTGGTCTGTGACAGAAATCTGGTACCATGGGACCCCCACAGCTTTCAAAGAAACAGTCCAGCTTTCTGTTTTCTCCTACTTTCCCCTTAGCTGATATTTATCACTGTATTTAAAATAATCATGACTTCAACTCAAGATACTGTATATTAACATGGAAGCAATATGAATGCACTTACGTGAATATCACATTTATACAGTTTGAAAAACACACAAACAAAAGTAGAGTGAACAGATTATATATTTCAGATAGGACCATGCTCACTTAAGGCATCTTGTGCAGAGGATGTCTCCAGATTGACCTTCACAGGTGGGTCCTGTGCTGGACTAACAGACACTCTCCACTAAACAGAAGTTTCAGGATAACTAGAGGCGAGCCTTGCTTTCGGCTTCCATAAACTGCATGTCAATATCACAGACAGCTGGAAAAGGCTACAGATGACAAATCATCCCATGAAACGGAAACAGTGCGACCCAGGAAGCTGTGTACACTAGACGGTGGGTGTGACCTAAGTCTGCTAAAATTTCCAAAATGAAAAGATGACCACTTTCTTAAAGAGCAGAATTATAAAGTCGCTTTCACCGCCATCGTTGTAGACCCAAGTTTAGTGAACTTTCAGATTAGAATCTATAACTCAGTAGAGTGTTCAGGACTACAGAAGTCATCTTGAGACTTTCTACGAAAGTACGTACAGATCTTCCTCATGGAGCTGGGAGTAATGGTGACCTAGAAGAAAATGGAGAGTTAGAGACTTCCCAAGTTCAAAATTATCTCAGTAAGTATCTCAGTTATAGCTGCCATTCTCTTGAGAAAATCAGCCCCCTCCACTGATAAGCCAGATAGCTTCTCCACTGGTTCCCAATAAAGCAGCATTGTTCTGATAAAGAAACATTAGTTGTATATGGTAGCACACTCCCATAATCACAGCACCTGAGAGGCTAAGGCAGGAAAGTCCCAAATTAAAATCTACTCTAGACTACACAGTGACAACCTGCAAGTCAATAAAATGTAAAAACAAATCCCAAAACTTAAAAAGATTAAGATTAGCACACCATTCTTAAAGCTTTGAGAGTTATATTATTAGTGAAAATAATTTTCACCTCACCCTTGGTCATGAGGGTCAGAGAAAACCATGGGAGAGAGACACTGATGACAAATGTTTGGCTAGGTGCAGAGCACTCCTACTTTTGAGGGAAGGAAACTTTGTTTGACTTCCCATTTTCTGCAGCAAAATACTGTTTCAGGTTGCATAGTAAGTAGCCTTTCCTAGAAGCACAGGCTAGGCTAAGGACATCAAATGGGGCAGGACACTCACCTTACTAGTACTGGCCTAAGGAAACCCAAGTTCTGCCCTTAATTATGGGCTGTGTTCCCATCATCCTCCTTTGTTAGTCAGAGTTACAGAGGAGCCCAACGCCCCTCCTGTAACTGCACACTGATACACAGCACTCTGTCCCTCTGTTGCTGTCCATGGCTCACCCAAAGCTCACTTCCCTCTTCACCAATCTGTCATATGCTTTGCAAGGTTCACTTATTTCTGCTACACCATCCATTCAAATGTCATGTCAGTCAATGAGACTTGGAAAGATCAGTAACATTACACTGAATTGCTGAATGTTGAGAGAGCAGACACAAGTATTCAGAATATTGGTGTATGCAAGACAATCACAAACTTGGGGAAAAGCCATAAAAATCAAGGAATCTGTAATTTAATTGCTTTGAAATACCTAAGTTCCATTTTGATCATAAAATTCATTACAAGCTGAACAATCTACTTATGGGTATTGGCAAGTTTCCTGAGAAAAACAACTTTACTTAAAAAAGAGATGCCATGCTGTATCCCAGGAGAGATATTTCTGAAGTGACACCCCGGATGGTGAGAAGGCTTCAGTGAATCAAGAAGTAAAGACCGAAGAGTATGAGCAGATGAAGGGTTTAATGGAGTAAAAGGGCTGCCAAATAATTCAGCACAAAGTTCATCTTGAGAACTGCATTTGGCCCCCTTCAAATAGGAACATATACCCTCCCACCCTGAAGGCTTACCGGGCCTGGTGATGTCTTTCCACTCTGTCTCCTGGAACTGGGTGTCTGGGATGATGGACTTCGTGGAGATGAATTCTCAGCCTTCCGTTTGGCTGCCATGGCTAACAACCAGTTCTTATTCTCTGGGGAGCTGTTCTCCTTGCCCACCATCTCAGACCCTTCTCCACAAGGTCTCAGAGGAAGAGGCAGTGTTCCACAGCCTTCTGAAGCATAAGTACTAACAGGCGAAGGAGGCTCCGAGATGCTTGCAGCGGCAGTGCCTTCAATTTTGCTTGATTTGGCAGGACCTGTGGAGTCCTTGCTGAGGGCGTCCTGGTTGCTGGAGAGGCAGCAGCACAGATCCAGATGGAGGCTCTCCACCTGGCCGTCGAGCTCGGTGACACAGCTGCAACTCTTCACACACTTCTGTTTCACGCTCTCCAGACAGCTCGAGTCTAGACGCCTCTTCACTCTATTTCTAGATTCACAGCAAGCATCTGCTTGGGACGACTTCTGGCTCACAGGAATGAGGGCTTTTCTTGGAGATGAGATCTTTGTCTCAGAAGCAGGTGGAGTGACGGGAGGTGACGAGGAAGGTGTTCGGGTCACCCAGTTTCTAAGAGACATCTTGAAAGATGAGAGGGGCTTGGGAGACACAGAAGAGGTGGAGCCTCTTCTGCCAACTGGAGACCGGGTCTTGGCAGGGGTAGTTTTGACTGGGAATGTGGGGGTATTTGAAGGAAGAGGGAGGTCTCCAGTACAGCTTGGAGTACAAGCTGCTGCTGATGGAGAGGAAATGGACGGACTGCTCTTGGCTCTGGGGGCTTTGGCAGGAGTACTCTGGCTATTCGATACCATTACTGAAAATGAAGAGAAGCATGAAAATCAGAAAGAAAACGATGCACAGGCCTTGGATGCTCACCCAGGGAAACCATCCCATCTGCACCACAGCCTCCCAGCATTTTTCCTACGCCTTTTCTAACTGACTGCTCCCCAAACACCCTGAAGTAAAACACACACTTGCAAAACCCAGGAAAGATAAAATCATTAAAGCACCAGCAGACCACTCTGAACAGTTTCAGTGTTTGCAAGTGGTGTGGGAGGTCCTTCTGTCCATGCGCTGCTTTCATTGGTTAATGAATAAAGTAACAGCCCTGGCCTGTTGATAGGGCAGAACTTAGGTAAGCGGGGAAGACAAAACTGAATGCTGGGAGAAGGAAGGCGAAGAGAAACACCATGGAGCTGCCAGAGACAGACATGCCGAACCCTTCCCAGTAAGCCACTGTCACGTGGCGATACGCAGATGAATAGAAATGGGTTAAACTGAGAGGTCAGAGTCATTCCCACACATACTACTTCAGGCTCTGCAATAGGGAGGACGCACTGCTTTTCTCAACAGGCTGTGCACTACTCCACCCGTCTCAGTTCATGTGTACTTTTGGCTTCTTTCTTGTTAGGCAAAAATCCCCATGCTTGAAGAATCCAGTAGCCCCATATTCACAGACTCTTCCTAACCCAGCTATCCTGTCACAGAAGACACTGGGTTCTCAGAGCCATTCACTAGTATGGCCAGGAGAAATGGTTACAGTAGTTACTATATTGTTTTGCACCTGCTTCCTAAGCTAGCTAGTGAGCGGGGTGTGTGTGTGTGTGTGTGTGTGTGTGTGTGTGTGTGTGTGTGTGTGTGGATTTAGTGTTTAGTAAGGAATTATTAAACAGCGTGGAACTTCATGGCTGTCAACAATAAGGCAGTGACAGAAGCACTAGGAAACTGACAGTAACTACCCTGCTGTCTAACCAAACGACAACAAACACCTGAGCTTGAACAAGTGTAAGTTATCTTGGCAATTAGGATAATCATCCTGTCACTCAATGCCTAGACCAGTGTCTCAATCTTGGCTGCATGACAGATTTACCCAGAGCTTTACGAAAACACAAACACTTGACCTCTACACAAAACTCACAAAATCCATGACTGACAATGTATACATTTTTCAAAAGCTCCACAAGTGGTTCTGATGCCTACCCAAGACTGAGAACCTCAACAGTGCTGTGAGATCTCCAACTAGAGTACAGTTACACAACAGTAAGCAATCGAGCTGGTGCTGGCTGGACAAAGTAGGTCAGAGGGAAGAAGTTTATGCCTTTGCAGATAGCATTAAAAAAGACAGCATTCTCAAAAATGGTAGTGTGGTCAACAGCAGCCAGTCTATTCTGGAAGCAGGCCTAAGGGCCAAATGGCAAGCGTACCAGCCATTGGCACCCAGATCAGGTTGTTACTCGGCAATCCTCTTTGGAGTAATGTCACCATCACCCAAGGACTGAAGGCTGGTTCAACTGAACTGCACTTGCTATATGGCGTCCTAAAGGAGACAGCACAGCAGAGCAGTCCATGTCTACACTGCTCGACAACTGGACGGAGAGAGCACTTGAGCACTTTACACGGTGGAACCGTCAGCAACTCTCATTTGATTCCACCCAATCAAACATCATCTTCTCCTGAGCTGCTCTCCTTTCCTTTGTAATAAACCCCTCAATTAAAGGGAGGCAACCAGTGTCTTGAGATCTTTCCCCACTGTCCTGATAGACCAGGTAGGCCATCATAGGCCATCATCACTCCAGCAAGGTTGTTTGTTTCATAAGCTCCAAACTGCAAAAGCAAAGGTAAGCTCATAGGTCTTCTGTTTCTAGCTCGGGCAGTGTCTGTCCAGTAGTCTGTAGCACCACCTCCTCTAAAGAAACGCTGGTGTCTAATAGCTCAGGTCCTTCCTTGCTCTATTTGCTTTTTTAGCTACAGCTGTTATCACAAGTTACCCCAAATTTACCACCCCCATCCTAACTTGCAGAGTTAAAACTGTCTCCTTGACACCCGTTGGATGTAAAACAATGTCATGGTACATTAAAATCAAACTCTAGCTTCCTTCCTAAATCTGTAGCAATTCTTATCTAGATTAGGACAATTCCATCCTGTGTAGCCTGAAGTAAAAGCCCTCAAAACCATCCTTAAAAATTCCCCCTTAAACTGTACATGTTATCCTTTGGCATATTCTGTGGGTTCTTAAAATATTGTTAAATAGATTCTTCTATGCTTTGCCTTTTGTTCTTGAGACAAGGTCACACTAGCCTCAAACCCACACTTTTCCTGAATGTTGGGAGTAAGGCATCAGGCAGGAACTTTCCCGCTGTCCCTCACTACCCTTCTAGAGGCCGACAACATGCCAGGTGCACTCCTGCTCCCGAAGGCCATGCCATCACAGAGACACCTGACAGCACATTTCCATTCTTCTCTCCTTTACTTGATGTACGTTATTTCAGCTTACTTATCGCCACCCACGAGTAAGATGTTTGTTCCTCATTGCTAAACAAAACTAAGAAGAGTGCACAGCCCATGACTATCTGCTGACTAAACCCGTTACTATACACGAGACCTTCCACAGATGATGAACAAAGCAGGGCAGTTCTCTCTAAGAAATGCCAGGGTGGTGCTTTCCTTTAAAAATACCAAAAAAGCCGGGCGGTGGTGGCGCACCTTTAATCCCACCACTCGGGAGGCAGAGGCAGGCAGATCTCTGGGAGTTCGAGGCCAGCCTGGTCTACAAGAGCTAGTTCCAGGATAGGCACTAAAGCTACAGAGAAATCCTGTCTCAAAAAAACAAAAAAACAAACAAAAAAACAAAAAACAAACAAACAACCCCCCCCACAAAACAAGGGCAAATCTAGCCTCCCATAGCACTCAGTATAACTCAACTAAGAAAACCAAGAAACCTTGGAAAAGGCATGCTACCCTTACCTAGGCCAGCTTTCGTCTCTCTTTTCTTCTGAGAGGTCCAGCCCACCATGGAATGTTTATCACCTCCGGGTTTCTCTTCCAGACCTCTATTCAAGCGCCAGATTTTCAGTGTATTATCATCAGAGCAGGTAGCAATCTAAGAACCAATAGAAGAGTGATGAAGTTTCAAAGATCAAGAACAAAATCTAAAGCAGTTGTGCCCTAAGGAAGGGATCATAAGCGACCACTTATTTTGTCTGCTGCGACACAGCACAGACAACAGCACCCCTTGTTTCAGAGAATCACACCAGCTTCACAACGATGCAAATTTCAGTTTCTTTTTAAAATGTATTTTCCACTGAGAAACCTATTAGCAGTAATTCATTTTTTAAAAAGATTTGTCTTTTTATGTGTGCTCTGCCTGTACACATGTGTCAGCAGAGCCCAGAAAAGAGCATCCTATCCTGTGGAAATGAAGATGGCTGTGTGCTGGGTGCTGAGCCTGTATCCTCTACAGGAACAGTAAAGGGCTCTCAAGTACACTGTCAGTAGGCTCATTTTCCTTTTGGTCTCTCAAGAACCCAGGCAATTCACGTCTTTAACATTCTTTCTATAACCATATGTAATTAAGATTTCCTTTTATTCTTTCTGTGAAATGATCAATTAGTACATATCATCACTATTTAATTTCTACAATTTTCTTCTAAATTCTGCGTGCTTATCTTATTGTTAAAGAATTGAGGACATTTCCCAGATCAGACTTAGCTTGTGACTCCAGCAGGCCGCAAGAAGAGTACAATAAACCCAAACCTCTGAGATGCTTTTTCAGATAGGTAAAGGAGCAATGCAGGAAAACAAAAGTTCACTAGGCTGAAAGAAGTTAAAAATAACCTTTGCCCCTTTAAAAATATCCGACTATTCCTGATCTTGGTCCCGAGCCTTTTATGGCAGAGAAAGTCCAGCTTGAAGAGCTAGAGGCAAATGGCCACTGCTGCCAGAGCTGTTCCCCAGCATTTGTTTATATCATTTCTCTATTTCAGTCACTAACACAGAGGAAAAAAGAACACATGTTCTTTTAAGTCGTGGCCCCCAAGAGACAGGCAACATTTTCCTTCCCTTACTGGGAGGCCAAAAGACGACACACACACACTTCACTTCTCAACGAAAAATAATGGAATGCCACGAGTGCTACAGTGACAATAATTATATTTATAGGCATCTTTAGTACATATGGGCCTTCACATCGTCTTTGTTTTCTGAGACAGGGTTTTTCTGTCTAACAGTCCTGCTGTCCTAGAACTCACTTTGTAGACCAGGCTGGCTTTGAACCTCTTAAGTGTTGGGGTTAAAGGAGTGCGCCATCACAGCCCAGCTTCCTTTACATTCTTTATCTTATTTAGAAACCCTTAAAAGCTGAGCACAATGATGCACACCTGTAGTCCTAGCACCTGGGAGACTAGGGCAGGGCAGGAGGACAGCGTTCAAAGCTCTGAGCTATATAGCAGCAAGATGTTCTCTCTGAACAAAAATCCACAAAACTAAAAAAAAAAACAAAACAAAACAAAACAAAAAACCCCCAAAAAACCCCAAACATAAACAAACAAAATACAAGTTTATCTGATAACCCATGTAAAAAGCAGGAATTCAGTTAGAAATTACATGGGATTTTGAAGAGAATGTCAGAATATTAATTGACACCTAAAGCAATAAGTTTAAGAAAGGTCTGTATGAGCAAGAACAAGGCTCTAAGTACATGAAAGCATCACAGTGAAATCTGTTTTTGTGTATGTTTATAAAAAAGAGCTTTCCTGAAGCTAACCAAAGAAATGTAGTAGGGATACAAACAAGCAAATCCTATGAGCAACCCGGGAGTTCTGAAATGCCAACAGTACGCTAATGCACTAGACATAAAGTCTCTGGAAGACTACAAAACACCTAAAGTCAAGAACAAGACAAGCAACAAAACTTTCCATATACAGACATGACTTCTATTTCTGGTGCTATTATAGTTTAAGCTGTGTGTGCACCTGCACTTGTGAGAACAGGCACACATGGAGGACAGATGCATTGGTTCCCCCTGGGGCTAGACTACTGGTAGTCACCTGATGTTCATGTGGATGCTAAGAACCAAACTCAGGTTCTCTTTAAGCTGAGCCATCCCCCTAGACCTTCATTTCAGATTTTAAAATGAATCTTCAGTTCAAAATTTCATTCTATATATAAGAAAAAGAATGACTTAGTGAACTATAAGTCCAACTTTACTTCTTTAGTATATAATAATTCCTCGTACTGGTGAAAAAAGCAGGGGAAACGTGTGTTGAGAAAGAGATATATGTCCTAAATTCTTTTAAATGACTACACATAAAAGTCTGTATCATTTTCAAATAAACCTAGGGAAAATATACAAATCTAGCATGCACAAACCTTGGTGAAGTCCGATGGACACCAGCACACAGACGTGACCTCTTGAGAATGACCCAGGAGTACAGTAGGGGGATGCCAGGGCATGGAAACCTGGCCAAACCAGAAAGAACATGTCAGCACAACAGTGTTAGTTCCCACAGCAGTCAGGACCTCTTTAACTATGTCTCAGGGCTTTAGGGTTGTCAATAACGGGGGAGCAGTCGAGCTCAACAGTCAAACTCAATTCAAGACTATGGGTCCAAACACAGGACAGCTCTTATTTCAACTAAAATGCAATTCTGGCACTGTCCATCAGCCACTGGGCTTTCTGGGCCAAGATTCAGTTCCAGGTAATGCTCTTCAACCCAGTCCTGTTTATACACCACATAGACATGTTTAGATCTTCTATAGTCAGCCACTTCAAGGAATATTAAAGCAACTGAGTCCTGAAGGTACCTGAAACAGGCAAACAGCTCTTTTAGAATAAGAGGCCAGTTTGTCCCCAAGGCAAGACATACTTACTATGACAAAATCCAAAATATCATCCTTCATTTTGAATGTGACAACCTTCAATTTGAAGATATAAGCCATAATTTTTAACTTTTCATTCAAAATTTTCAGTCAATTTGTTTGAAGGACAATTTAATGTCTTTAATGTATTGAGAGGTCAGACTGTACACATCACCGAGAATCCTATCACTGGATACTTCCAGTGATAGGCACTTGATAGCACACTGTACAGCCAACTCATTCCAGAGCTATCAATACCTTTCAAAGCACACAGGACTAGAGGACAAACTCACATTGCTATTATTAGTACATGTATTTGGAGAACAAGGACCTTAGAGAATGCATTCTCTATTTTCCCAAGGCTCTGAATCAGATCATTTGCATGAAGCGGAGGCAACTTTAGAAAGAATATTTGTGACAGTGACTAAGTCAGCTTAACAGGTTTCTCAAATTACAGCTAAGAGACTTGATTCTGATTCATGGGGTTATCTAACTCATCATTACTACTCCTTATCTTTGCTACCTGGCAAATGTGCAATGATTAAAATGGCAAAAACAAAGGACAGAGTTCAGTCTGCCTCGTTAAGTTAAAGTTTAATGTATTAACAGATAAGGCAGCTTTCTCTCAATCTGCATGGATATTATTGCCGAGTTCTACAATACCATGGACTATAATTCATTCACTCAAAGAAAAATATACTTTAGAAAGGACTATAAACGATAGTTTCTTACTATCGCAGCAGTCAGAATTTTTCCTTCCTTTCTGTTTGTGAAGACCCTAGACCCTTAAGTTTCTCTCTACTCAAGATTCAAACAGATTAAAGGGAGGGGAAATCCTCACGTCTGTGGACATCTCTGGTGAACATTACTTCTTCCTGCCATCCTATGATCCCACCTGTTCCTTAGCTTCTCCATCACAGCACTGAGGAGAATCTAATTGTTTATACAAAATATTAAAGTTAAGAAAAACCAAGTGCCTGCCAACAGCATGTACCTAGTTCTGTCTACAGGGCCTCAAAGAAAAAGAACCCTTGTAAAAACTTACTAAAGAAGCAATATTAATAGTAATAAAGTTGGCATTTATTCATTGAATACATAAACCAGGTACTTTACATATAAAAAAATAGGTGGGAGGGCCTAAAAAAAACCAGAGATGTACTTTCAATATCATATGGTTTACTAACTCTATTCTTTGGCATACACCTCCTCAGAGAACAGAAAACACACGCAAGTAAAAACATACAAATGGTGACAGCAGAGTTTAAATAGCAGTAAAAAACTTTGACCATCTAAAATCACCACCAACTGGTAAGCAGATAAAATATGGCTTGCTTATAAAGTAGAATATTCTTCAGCACTTGGAAGAAATGAAGTATTGTGCAATATGTCTGAACCTGAAAAATATGCTAAATTAAGGTCAAACACCCAATGCCATATATTATGTGATAGTTTATATAAAATGTTTCAAATACACAAAAATCCAGAGAGGAGAGATAAAGAATATATAATGTGGCAACGGTAAGGAGTGACTATGAAGACACAGGATAATGTGGTTTCTTCCTGTGTGACATTCAGGAATTAGTGCAAAAGGTTGCCCAACAGTGTGTATACTGAAGTGTACACTTTAATATTATTTGGTGATGCTAGGGAACCAAACACAGACAGGGTCACATTCATGCTAGGCAAGCATTCTAACACTGTTCTATACTTTCAACTCTTAAATCCGTCTTTGTATTTTTTTGTAAATAGTCTTGCCCTGCCCAAGCTCTCCTCAAACTCAAAATTCTCTTGTACGTAATTCCTGGGTGCTGCAATTACAGGTGTGCACAACTATACCCAACCTCTAAATTCTCTTTTAATAAAAAGGAGAAGGGACAGAAGTGATAAACTTTGTGAATTTTGATGACAAGAGCTTCGATAGCTCAGGACTATCTTAGGTACAATACTTGCTCTTTGACTACTTTAAGTAAGATGAATTTTTCCCTTGTGAAATTCAGATGGCTTTGAATTCACTTTAATTCCAGTAACTTTTAAACTTCAATTTTCTTTAAAAACCATTACTATAATTATTTCATTTAATTTTTAAAAAGCTTCCATTTTGAGTAGTAAGGAAACTTATTTAAAAAAATAACCTAAACATTTTGGGGTGGTCAATACAGAAAACTGTCCTCTTTTACATATTCTACCTTTTATAGAATGCTTAAGGCATAGGAACCCGAAAGTTAAAATTAAGAGACACCTCTTGAAGCAAATGGCTCTAACCTTAAGAACTCATAGAGCACTTTGAGTACTTAGGCATACAAAAAAAATCCATCAGCACTTTCCCTCACAAAATCTCCTTACTCTGCCCAATTGGAAACCAAATCTAATCTTTATTTTTGCCATGAGATCATTTACACTTCCTAAAGTGTCAGGCTCAGTGTTCTACTGGTCAGCGGCAGAATGGCCGTGCCAAATCAGTTTATTTATAACCACTTCAGTACTATTCAGTGGATGGACCAGGGACAGACAGGGGAAGCGGGGGTGGAGGTACAGGTTGGGACAAGAGGCAGGAAGAAACTAAAAAGCAGAATGCTCAATGTTTGTGTGTGTGTGTTTTAGAATTTTGGACCTCAGTATCACAGTCCACAGATGATAATGTGGCGTGAGGCATCTACAAAGGCCGTCCTCTTTTGCTGGAAGATACAAACTCTTTCCTTATTCTTTCCTTATGGGAAGGCTTCAGCACAGAACAGATGCAATACGAAAGCCCAAGCTAACCCTTTAGACACAACACCTTCAGTGGTCTGGACACTCAGCCTGTATGGACTCCTATTTAAACCCCTCCTCCTTTAATAAGGGAAAAGAGAAACGACATCTCACTGGGCAAATTCAATTTTAAGAGCAGTAAGCTTGCCAAGATCTCAAATATCAGGGCCTTCACACTGAGCTATGTGCGGACAGGCAGGAGGACATCCTGTCTGAACCACGTCACTCAGTGGTGACACGGAACCAAGCCTGGGAATTCAGTTAGGGTCAACCATGTGTGGTGGCCACAGATGGGATCTCTAGTAAGAATAGGCTAGAAACTCAATCAAGTACCTAGTGTGCAGCCCCTCGATTCCCATTTTAAAAGGACCCGTGCTAGAGAAATTTTAAAACCTGGCAAGAACATTTAAATGTATATATTTAGTTACATACATAATCATGTGTACTTTATGGAACTAGCCATTTTATTATGTTTTCTGATACATCTAAAATTTCAGTTGTTTTCTTGCAAAAAAGAAACCCCAAATGACAGGCTTGTGGAATGAGTAAAATTCTGTTACAAAGTAGGGAGTTAGAGAAATAAAAGTAGTAAGACAGTGAGGAAAAAACAGAAAGCACAAAGAATTAAAACTTTGAAACTCAAAATTTTAAATACAAACAAGAGAGAAGCAATTGTAACTAGTACTACACAGAGACATTTAAAAAGAGTAAAGAAAACAGGTAAAAACTATTTTTGTAAGATTTGTACTTATATATACATCTCAAGTATTTACTCATAAGAAAATTCTCATTTAAAACTCCAATAAGAAATATGTGTATTAGAGAGGAGCCCAGCACACGTGTCTCGGCTAGAATGGCATCTCACCTTGGGAACACAGGGAAAATGTCACTAAAAGCTGTCAGTGGGGAGCAGTTACTTTCCAGCTCCAGTCTAAGAGTCATTCATTTGCACTTTCCCCAAGACTTTTCTATTAACATCATCTAAGTTTCTTGGTTTATGGAAGATTGTTTTAGAATATGAATACATAAAATATGGTTTTTAAGATGTACACAATGACTTAAACAGTAATGGACACTCTATAAAATAAGAAAATGAGGGGACTGGAGAGATGGCTCAGTGGTTAAGAGCACTGTCTGCTCTTCCAGATGTCATGAGTTCAATTCCCAGCAACCACATGGTGGCTCCCAACCATCTGTAATGAGATCTGGTGCCCTCTTCTGGCATGTGGGAATACACAGAGGCAGAATGTTGTATACATAATAAATAAATTAAAAAAAAAATAGAAAATGAATTGTCTTAAATATCTGCTAAACATTTGCTGTGGGACAATGGTCTGTACCCTGTCACTTGTATTTTAAATAAACACTGATTGGCCAGTAGCTAGGCAGTAAGTATAGGCGGGACAATGAGAATTCTGGGGAGAGTAAAGAAGACTCAAGTCTGCAGTCATCGCCCAGAGAGGAAGCCAGACACAGCAAGCAAGATGTGACTGCCTCACCGAAAAAGGAACCAAGCCATGTGGCTAACACAGACAAGAATTATGAGCTGATGTAAGTTATAAGAGTTAATAAGAAGCCTGAGCTACTAGGCCAACCAGTTTATGATTAATGTAGGCCTCTGTGTGTTTCTTTGGGACTGAATGACTGCAGGACCAGGTGGGACAGAAACCTCAGTCAACAAACATTGAACATGCTTAATGGCCCAAGGGCCAGATATTGCTATAAAAAAAAGGAGTAAGAAAAGCAGTTATTACACCGAAAGTTTTGAGCAACTGTTCTGCAGGCAGCTCTTTGGAAGTCCGAGTATGGGACGTGACACTCAAAGTCTGATAAGATAGAGCAGAATGGGCAGTTGTACGTAATGGTTCCTGCGAAGCAGGATTTAGTGATCTTTCATTTGTATTTTAATAAATAAAGCTTACCCAAAGATCAGAAAAGTAAAACAGCCACACTGGTCAGCCTTACAGACCAGGCAGCAATAACACACACCTTTAATTCCAGTAGCCACACTCGCTTGCCATAGAAACCAGGTGGTAATGGTGCATGCCCTTAATCCCAGAACTAGAGAGGGATACAAGACAGGAGGAGGCAGCTCTCAGTCTCAGTCTCATTCTGAGGATTCCTGGAGGCAGGACCGCCATTTCAGACTAAGGTCGAGGTAAGAGTCAATAACTGGCTGCTTTGCTTTTCTGGCCTTCAGGTTGAACCCCAATATCTGTCTCTGAGTTTTTATTAATCGTGCTACAGCAGGACACAGAATGCCATTTTTGAAATAAAAGATATTCAGAAAAGGAAGCACAAAGCAAGAAATGACCTTGCGAACAGTTGGTGCAAAAAGTCAGCAGTGTGTGCTTGTACTAAGTACACCTCATACTGGACAAAAGCATTCTATCTGTGGGTATTTGACAGCTTACCTTCCAAATGTAGGCAGCTTCATCACTCGAACCACTGATTAAAAACTGGTCATCTGGACTAAGACTTGATTTTACATAAAAGGTAGAATTCTGGTGTCCATTGAAGACAGCCACTGCCAGAGGAGAAAACCAAATCACTTGGTTTCTATCATTTCCAGTATTCAAATGAATGCAAATGACACTCACACACAACTCATACAAGTGTTATCATTGCTTCAACCTGCTACCATATAATAGGGAGCTAAGTACTAAACACAGAACGAGAAGGTTGTGCTAGACCCAGTCTAGTGAGTTCAATAGGAACAAATGTCAGATGACAATGTCATGAGCAAGAAAGCTGATGTCTAATCCTATAGTAAATGTAGATTGTGCCCATGTCCTTATCCTACAGGAGGATTTTCTCCATGGAAAATACTCATCTTATTTCTCCACTGACTGTAAACTTCTTGAGGGTACATCTCACATCATGCTAGATCTTACTTTAAACAGTATAAAACTTCAAATATTTGCTGCACAAAAAGGTAAAAGTCAGTGAAAAGAATTATTTGAATTCTGGCTGAGATGCAGAGATTTTTTTTTTTTAATTCAACTCTTTTTAACAGGCTGAATGACAGGAAGACCTAGAGGGGCACAATGTATGTTCACCTGTAAGTCACTCAATTTCTCATAGAGAAAGAGTAAGTAACCATACCTTATATAATGTGCTCTTAAGACTGCTGGCATCAACACATTACAGAAAATTTAAAGGGGAAAGCTCAGCTACCAGAAAATTTACAGATATATCAGAAGTAAAAATAACATTTGAATGCTTAACAGAGGGAACGAGGCAGCCGTAGAAACTTCAGTGGCTTTTGGTTGAGTGCTCACAGATATCCATTCTATTTCTAAATAGAAAAACTGTTTACTTAGACCTTTTAAAGAAAAACAAAACAAAACATGGTTTTGCAGAAATGGCTCAGAGTTAAGAGTATTGGTTGCTCTTCCAGAGGACCTGCGTTCAATTCCCAGCACCCACACCAAGGCTCACAATTGTGCAGAACTCTGTAGTGTGCATGTAGACATAATACCTATACATACTTAAAAATAGAAACCCTATTATCAAAAATGCTCTGCATCAGAGATTTTTACTATAAAATAAAGTTCAACAGCAATCAATTTAGATATATCCTAAACACACTATGATAGCTAGGTAGTGGTGGCACATGCCTTTTATCTCAGAACTCAGGAAGCAGCAGGCAGATCTCTAAGGTTGAGGCCAGCCTGGCCAACAGATTGAGTTCTAAGACAGCAAGGGTTACACTGTGAACCCTGTCTGAAAAAAAAAAAAACAAAAAAAAACATAAAACTAAGAAAAGAAACTCTCACTATGATAAAGACTTAAATAAAGAGGCTCCTTCATTCTGAATACTGTTCCAAAATGGAAATTAGTCATTTTCTATACTAAATTATGAACAGAAAATTATAAATTGAATTTCCCCACAAACCACGTTTTTATTACCCTCTGCTGGCCTAGGAAAAGCTGGTATGAAACAAATTGAAAATATTTCAAATATGGCATAAATTCTCCTAAAATCGTACAATAGCTTAAATTATAATTCGGTCACTTTGGTTTTCTTGTTGTTTTGAGGTGGAGACAGAATTCCTGCTCCTCCTGCCTCAGTGTCCCAAAGCTGCGATTAAAAGCATGTGCTATTATGCTTGACATTAACTTAGTTTCTCTATGCTGAACTGGGCATGGGATATAACTATTACTTAATACACTATAATACTAAAATAAAAAAAAGAAAATCATTCAAGCATGAAGTTCTGGTTCTTTCCAAAGTCTTGAGAAGGGAAGTAATTACCAGATGCTTTTTAAACACACATTTAATATAGTCTCTCTCTCTCTCTCTCTCTCTCTCTCTCTCTCTCTCTCT